AACAGAAGGAATTCACAGCTGACAAGGACACTTCCCTCTAGCATATGTTATAAACTAGGGATATGAGAGCTAAATATGCTCAGGCAAAGCCTTCATTTAATAAAACATTCAGTAACATTTCATTCCTTAAGTTTCTCCTTCTGTTTAGTCTGCCTCTGAGTATTAAATTCCTGCTGTAGGCTGAATCTGGGCTAAGCTGATGCACAATAATTGCAAGCTGAGCTGCAGTTTACAGACTGAGTCAGTAATGAGTCAAAGAGAGACTCAATAAAAGGAATAGTACGCAGCCAGGATCAGACTACAAAGCTCTGGGATGTCTAAGTGATACCACAGCATCTGGGAATTTCAGAATTTCAGTTTGCCATGTGCAAAGGGCTGGTTACAAGCTCCACACAGAGTAGGATGTTCTGGGAGCTATTTGTGTTTCATAAATTAGGTTTTGTGGTATTTCATTGAAATTTAGAGTATGTCTATTCCACTTGGCTGTCAGTTCTAAAACACACTTGGCATTGCAACCCAATCGTGCAAACGCTAGCAAAGGGCCATTACAGCCAGTCCGTTTCCAACTTTGTTTCACCTATACCTAAATCCACAGAAATTATCATTTCAGAATTTATATTATCACTGAAAATTTAATTTTAGTAAGTCAGCCTTTTGAACTGTTTTCCACTTGTTTGACACAGGGTCAGATTTTTCATTTTTTAATAGGCTGCCAATTTTTATACAAGCAATTTATACATGCCATGGAAGAAAAGAACAGAGACTTCTGACAACTGTGTATACTTCTAAATCTGTTTTAGAATATTGTGGTATATCAAAATCTTACACAAAGTCAATGGAAAAACATGCAAAAAAATAAAAAAGGAGGTATCCACAATTGCAACACTGGACATCACCAAATACACTGTAGAAACATAGGGCAGGAGTCGACTTCAGGACACTTGGAAAACATTTGGTTTATAACTTGACCACAATAGCACTGTTTACTAACAACTGCAGAGCTAGAACTGCAGGAACACTACACTGAAGCCAAGAGCCTCTCTCTGCAGCACCAGCCAGAGTGAATATAGACTTGCAGCAATAAAACCCCCTTTCCTAGGCAACAGAATAAAGCTAACAAAGGCATTTAGCAGACTTAGAAGGAAAGAAAAGAAGGGCCACAAAAGGAAAAGGAGTTTGAATTAACATATCCAGTATGCTTGTGTTTGTGTAAAAGCTTTCTAGGCTGAAAGTACAAGATGGTGGAGAAACTACAGGAAGATACACTGTGAAGACACATTTAGATAAAAAGCAATTAAGAGAATAAAATACAGTATTAGAGCTGCACAAGTTTACATGGTTGTAGAAAAATACTAAGAAGGAGGAATTCCCTTCCAACTGAGTGGATGCCTGTAGCAGAGCAGGAATCCCCCCCAGCGACAGGCGCCCGAGGAGCACACCCAGTCGCTGCTGTGAACGAATGACACTGTCAGCCTATTTGAGGCATAGGGAAGGATCTTAAAGTAATAAGAGCAAAAAGTGTATGCGGGAGAAGAACTTCCCCGGATTAAGATCCATTAAGCACAGAACAGGAGCAGAAACTTCCAACCGCTGCAAGCGCTGTTAAAAGTGGAACGGCGCCCTAGAAAGAGCAATTCACATACGCAATTCATGTGGATGTATCCTCCACCCAGTCCCAAAACTCAGGCACATACTTTGATGAACACACCACATTCCAGCCTAGGGGAAACATCTGGCCATGCTACTTCAATGCTGGAAATCAGAGATGACCCAACTACAGCTGGGGTGGGATTAAAGGAACAGCTCTGAAGTTTATCGTGGCAGCTACAAAAGCTACAAGTAATCACTGTCGGGAATTAGAGCAGAATTATTTGACTTGCTGCTAAATTGTCATGATTTAAGTTTTTAAACTGACTCTTTACTAAAACCCTTTGTAAGACGTGCAACACTCAGTTCCAAGTGATAAGGAGAAAGAAGGGTGGGACCTTGTTCTCAAAAATTTGACTGTCCTCCATTTTCACAACTAAATACTGGGGCCTCTATCTCCCTCCCCTCAAATGAATACACCCCTACTTATGACTAATTTTAATTTTTATAAACCCACGGCTTCAGGCTCGTCTCAAATTGCAGCATGCTAGCCAAGCTACTCTTCATCAAGGATGGCACATTTTGAAGTGGTCCATGCCAAACCCAGGCCAACACGTTTCAGCAGGGGGCCACGATCCTGTTTCCCTGGCGTGCAGAGTGACCCTTCGTGACTGAAAAGGATCTTTATGGACAGAGGAGTATCAGACACAAACCAAACCATTCTGCTACTGGAGCTTTCCAGGAATGACAGCATGATAAAGGAGGCCTTTGAAGTTCATGAAGGAGTAGAAAGAGGTGTTAATTTAAAAAGTTTGTCAGTATACCCAAGAGCAGAAGGAGAGTAAAGCATCAATTAATTACTCACACTTCTATTCCACATGTTATCATAGTATCTCAAAACAGTTTGCAAACATTGATTAAGTCTCATGACATACCCCTGAAGCAGACAAGCACGGATGAAGCTCTACTCCTACCAGCCAGGATGTCACGCTGCAAACATTTTGTTTAGCTGATCCATGCCTCCTCTTCCCCATCTGTTAAATGGCAGTAACAATGCTACCATACAGTGCTTCAGAAGCTCAGCCATTTCTAAATCAACACATTTTTAGACAGAAAAATGGCACACAAGGGCAATCTCCTATGTTAGACTACACTCGATTACACTGAACTAAAGCTACCACAATTGACATGTAACATAGTGGGAAGAAAACCCTCTATCTGGATTTTATAGCACCCTACAGATTTGCTTTGCTCTGTCCCTAAGAACCCAGAACACTTGAGATCTAGTTAATGACCAGGATTCTTGGGTCCTGTGTTAACATGGAACTCACTGTAATTACAGTAATTAGATCTGCTGTGGAAAGAATGGCGAGAAATGAGACTGTCCACAGTAGCCTATAATTCTCAATTAACATAAAGTAGTTGGTGTGTTTGGAAGCCAGGACAGACCTACGCACATAGCTGCAAAACTTCAGAGGGAATTGTCATTTACATTCAGATGGGAAGTTGAGCACACTATAGTGTTTAATCCTCGCTTTGGAAGACAGGTACATGAGCATCGTCCACTTACAAGCGGTGAAATGGCAATTCAGGGAGGCTCTGAGCTGCCAAAGGTCAATCACACACACTCCCCACAACCAACATTTCACTTTGGGAACTCCCCATTCCCAACACTGTACTTGTCTCTTTTTTATGATAAAAGAAGTCCACAAACCAATGCTGCTTGTCCTAGTGAGAAAGAGTCTCTTCTTCCTCGTTCGAGGGTCTTTCCATGGATAGAATCAGATGGAATTACTTTGCTTAACCCTCTTAGTGATCTGACTTTTCCAGAAGGACCAAAGATAAAGACAAAGGTAATGGCTTCATGAAATACAGCTCTTTTCTTCTCCTGAGCTTGACAGTCACTTCCAAAAGCAGATTTATGACAACAAACAACTTGGAGGCAATCCAGCCAATTAATCTGCAGAGGAAGCAGCCATCCCAACCTTGGAAAAGAACACTGCTGCTTTAAGCTTCACAAGCCAAAAAAATAAAAAGAAACACAACAAGAAACCTTACCACCCACAATAATCTTATTAGGCTGCCTTAGGCCTGTAGTGAAAAACAATTCAGCCCTCAGTGCGGGGGCAGCAGCAAGATACACGTGCTAGTCCCTCACCAGCCCCTTCCTCCCCCCAGGCAGAGGGTAGGGGCAGGCCAGCCCCCCTAGCCAAAGCTCTGATCTGAGCAGAGCTGTGCTCCAGGCTGCAATGTAGCCCAGCAAGCAGGCGAGTTCCCAGGATGACCCTTCATACAGGGCCAAAGAGAAGCGCTCATAGGATAGGCAGAGGAACGGCACAGAAGAGAGTGTCACATACCATCACTATAAACCCTGTTTTGTTGGCATTGCTGTTGCACGTTTTCCCTCTTCCCCTGTGAGCTGTCAAGAATATTTATCACCGTGTTCAGCTCAGTACTATTTTCTCTTCCACAAAGGACTAAATCATCAGTGCAGCTAGATATTAAAGTTATTCTCCTTCAATTTCCCTAATTTCTTCTTCCTTCATAGCCTGCTTTATCTTTCTTCATGTGTCCTGCTTTCCACAGGCACAAGCACATGGCATCTCCCCTGCAAATATCCACCATCTGCCTTATTTTGCCTACTCTGATCTCTTGGTAGTAACTCAGACATCAAAATGTTTAGCAGCTGATACCCGATATACACTATTTGTAAACCTCAAGTCATTCATATATACTTCACGTTTTATAAAATACTATGGCATTAAGTTACAGAAAACAAAACTGAGGGGCACTAGATGTAGACTTGTAGCACAAATTAAAAAGAAAAAAGTCAGAGATTGTGTTTTGAGATTCTCACAAGACTCAATTCACAACAATTTTCAGACAAAAATTTTCTTCTGTCCTCATCCTTTTCTCTAAACACAGAAACAAGGAAGGGTAGAAATAAATTCTTCCACTGTAGGCTTGTCCTGCAATGAAACATGCCTTTCAGAAAACAACTGAGCAATGAGCATCTAAAGCTTTATGCCTACACAGATCTACTCATCTAGTAAACACTTCAAATTGAAGTTTTACTATTGATCCCTCTGGGTCCAATCCATCTCTCACAGAAGTCACTAAATGGATTCCCGGCAACTTCAGTGAGCACTAGGATCACAGATTACAAGCATTTCCTGCAAAAGCACATTTTCACTAATCTGTAAAAGATACCAGTCTTCTGAGCACCGAGAACGAAACGTATGCATGCACACACACGCACCCTCTACACATCCCACTCTCATCTGCAGAATTAGGAAACCACAGCTCTAGCCAGCACAGAGCAAGCCAACTGAATCGTATTTTCTGCTGAGCCTGTTCCACGTTAATTTGAGTTGGTATAATACTGAAGAAGAGAATAAACCCCCTGTGCCTACCTTGAGGGTTTTCGCAGCTTTCTTCATCACTGTTGTCTTGGCAGTTATTTTGACTGTCGCACACAAAGCTTTTGTCAATGCAAAGACCATTTTTACAGTGGAATCGGGCAGTAGAGCAAAGCAAGGGATTTGCTGCTGTGGAAAGAGAAAGTAAGATCTTTCATTAGAAATTCTCCTACTCAGACAGTGAAATAGCCATTAAGCAATCAACGACAACAGGTCACAACTCAACAGTTGGTCAATTCGCTGAATATGTGGCAGTAATTTGGCAATCAAACCAACCTTGTCTCTCTAATCTCTAATTCATGCAAGATTCATTACGATTAGCAGAGATTTAGTCCACCCACAGTTGCGATAAGCCTTCTGTTCACTTCCATGAGCCCCTACTACACTTGCTGCTTGGCGCTCAGTATTTGCTCACACTGCAGACATATGGAGGGCAGCACTGCCTATCGTAAACACTGCCTGTTGCTTCCCATTACACCAAACTCAGTTTGGCTCAAGTTTCATATTATAACTGGCTGAGAACTGCCAGGCAGTGTTTTATTTACCTCTGTTTCTATTTCCACCTTCCCCGTTCTCACTATTTTGAATCAATACGATGGCAATAATGACGTTTCTCAACTCCTTCGTGTTTGAATTTCAACTCCTTTTTTAAGGCCAGTGTGCACATTACAGTAGCACCCACAAAATCTTTCACGTAAGGCCCAGTGTTGCACACAGAGTGAAAACAGTATTTCAGCAGGCTTATTTAGGTAGAGCAGTCTTCTCACGCCAAACCCAGCAGTCAATATGCTGTAAGATGCTATGTCTAGTTTCACTTAAGGCTCCAAGCAGTGCAGTTTTCACCGCTTCTCCTAGCAGATTACATCACAGCTTCAATGCATCTCACTGTCAAGGGGGTTTCCTTGATATTCATCTTCGTTTTCTCTTTTTTAATTTCATCCCTCTAAGCTACGGCCCAGCACACATAACCACATAATCCCTCCTTGAACAGTGTTTGCAGTCCTCATATACAGCATATATAGCCTTATCTTCCAACACAGTCATCATTTAGCTGAGATACACATAATTTAGCAGTTTTTAATATCTCCTCATAAATCAATCTCTCTGTCCCTTAATCATTTTTGGCACTCTTCTCTGAACTCCCGCCAGTTTTTGGTAATGAGGTGACTGAAAGGGAATGCAACTTTCCAACTGAAAACCTTAAAAAAAAGCTGTTTAGATGACTTGTCTGCTTCAAAGTGCTTCTCTGCCACAGTAAGAAAGGGGATTACAGTTCCCAAATACTGCCTCCCTGTTTTTATTCTTTAAGGTAAGAGCTGCCTTTAAAGAGTCCTAAAAAAACAAAACAAAACAAAAAAACCCCATAAACCTTTAGTGTCTGCCATGCATATAACCTGTCGTATAACTCCCAACACTCCCAATTCTTTTAGCTCCCCAAAAGCACATTTACCACAAACCTGCTAAATCTCCTTTGGTCTGATACTGCTGCACACTTGCACAGCGGGTTGATATTCCAGGTCACTCTAGGGCCTACAGTGATGTTCCTCTACATACGCAAAACAGTGACTAGACACCCGGATATGCTAGAAAATAGCAAGTGCGTGCTTAAAGGGCACAGAGAAACAAGGAGATCAGCAGCACGTTATCATCATCTGTAAGGTCCTGTTGGAGCTACATGCTACAAGCTCATGGGAAATTATGTCATTCATTACCAACCCCATGAGCTGGGGCATTTTCCATGGAGACCTGCCACTTGTCAGTCCACCACCTCAAGGATATTCAAAGCACTTCTGTCAAAGTTTCTTTATAGTCTGCTTGTTTAAGCATAGCCCAGTTATTTCCTTAGCCTTCAATCCTCTCTCTCCAGCTTCACTTGCTCCACAGAGGTGCTATCTCCCTGCCGCAGTCCTCCCATGGCCCAAACCAGACTCTGTAGGCCAACAGACAGCACTTAAAGAGATGTTCCTGCTGGGGAGGACACAAACAAGAAAGGAAAGTCCTCCAAGAAGCAGAGAGTGATAGATCACTGTAAAGATCACCCCTTTTGTTATCTATGAAAGCTGGTGACTGTTGTCCTCCTCCTGACCTTTAAATGCCATTAAAAGGAAAAACTCAGCATGTGTCAACAAGAGAACGAGCACCTATTGCTGCAAGCTTCTGCCTACAGACCCCTGCTTTTACGCGCTCCTGGTAACAGCAACAGAGCTGCGGGCTTGAGCATAGCTTTCCTTACTGCTAGGATATATCCCTGCTACTCTCACAGATACAAATGGACCTGTGTGGCCACACGCCAAGGGTCTTGCCCAAGTCAAGTGGCACTTCAGGCGATTTTTTGCTGCAACTTCCCTGCAGGCTGCTGAATAGCAGCTCACGCTAGTGCACCGGCAGGTATGTCTGAGTTCAACAACCTCCTTCTGCTTCCCAGAACCTGTTTCACTAAATAACCCTTTATTTGCTTTTTTGTTGTTTGAGAACATGTATAAACAGAGAAACCTAAGTGTGCTGATGAACATGTAAGTCATATGCTTCAGTAAAAGGAAACAGGCAAATAAAAATTAAAACAATTTTAAGTCATATTTAAGATTTGCCCAATTTGAGTTACATTTGAGCACAGAGAACCTGTTCAAAGCAAACAGGCAGCTTACATCTCACTTCCAAGTTACAAAACTGAAGCATCATACAGGCATTATGCACAGAATAAGACTGAGCTGGACCTTAACAAACAAAAAAAACAAACAAACAAAAAAAAAGAGATTGTCACTTACAAAGTGAAAAGCACAAGGATCATCTGGATTGTAAATGACAGGGAGAACATTTGACTCGGAAACTAAAGGGTACCAAGTGCTTCCTTTATAAGTAGTATTAATCAGCTGGAAGAAAGCAGCACCCTCCCTCGCAAGCAGGCCCACACTTACTGCAGTTTTCCTCATCACTGCCATCAGGACAGTCCTCAAAGCCGTTGCACCGGAAGCGGCCGATGATGCAGTGGATCCCACTCGCGCAGGGGAAAAATGTGGCACCACACTTCGATTTGGCTTTTGCTGGGAGAAGATACAGACAGAAGAGGACAAAGATGAGGGAAACTATTTACAAATGTTAGAGGCACTTCCATAGCAGCAGAGGTTGGGTAAGTCCAGGCAGCGCTGGTGGCACCGATGTTAGGTGCCTTCCAAGCTCCCTATGACGTGCTTTAAGTTTTCTGTGAGATTTCACTTGCTTGGGCTGAATTGGTTCCAATTTGTACAATTTCCAGACTGACTGAAACATTGCAACTGAAGTCAAATGACCTCTCACAACAAGTTTAAATTGTGCAATGCTTTGGAGAAGAAGTTGGTCAATTTGACAAGCAGTTACTCCTAACTGTCCCTTAAAGACCCACGTGAATTTGACCAACCTAGCAGCAGTGGAGGAAAAATATTAAAAAAGAGGGTCATAATTCACAGAAGACAAGAGCAACTATCTCCTCTTTTCATGGAAGTCTGTTGCAAATATCACTGCCTCAGGAGACACATCTAAGTAGGTCCTCCGGCAGCAGACAACAACCCTCAGAGGCAAAAGTCTACCTGGACTAGTCACAGGCCCCCTGCAACCTGCAGCTATATGTCGCACCAAGTCCACAAACTAAATAGCAGCAAAAGTCTAGATTTTGTACACCAGCAAGCTTCTCTTGTTTGCTCAGAGAAGCCAAACAGTGAACAGCCCAAGGTAGGCAGAGATAATGAACATGGCAGAAAGTTCAGAGAATTTGAGATCCAGAGGCAAACTTGGGCAGAGACAAACTTGTACAAAGAGTCACGAAACGTTTGGAGAAGGAAAGGAGGAATGCAGAGATACAAAGCAAGTTAGTGTCTTTGTGAGAATAAGAAACACAAGAGACCTTCATTAGAGTATTTTTCAGGCTGCAAAAATCAAACTCAAAAAAGAAAATGCTATAATTAACACTGCCTTTATTCAGCATGATTTATATAACATTGGTTGCAAAAGGAACATGAATTACATGGATTTTATCTCTTGCCATACTTCTCTCCATCATCTATTATACAGTTCTTCAGGACAGAAACTACATCTATCTCATAGTACCAGCACAGCTATTCATGTAACACTAAATACTAACAACAGCGCCAAATTGTGTTTAACAAATGATTACAAAAATATCATTATGATCTTAAGTACTTCACATTTTTTACTTCACTGCACAGCAGCTCTTCACAGCAAGAAGAGAACACTGCCCTCAGCTAGAGTGAAGCAGATGCTTCCACCATAATGCTCAAGGCAAGTACCAGTTAAATCCTGTGCTATCACCAGCCTAGAACAAAGCAACTCCCAAAGTAAAAAGAAAAAAAAAATAACAAGACGTGGTTAGGGGTTTTTTCCTCCCTTTCGCTTTTTCAAATTAGCACGTAACATGATGGAGCACATCACAGGATGCTGAACTATTCAACAAGTCCACTCTAAAGCAAAGCCAGTCACTGCAGGAAGAGGATGCTGGTAGCTGCAGGAATGAGTGCATGGTGCAATGCAAACACTGGGTAATACGATGCACAGACCATCGATAGGAGAACACCACAAAAGCAGTCAGTGGCATAACTTGCAGGCCTTTTGAGTAAATGTTTTCTACTCCTACACCAAACCTACAAGTTGTGTTTACAGTTCCCAGGTTCTGAGATGTAACAGACCTGGAGATCATAGCCACAGGCAATCTTTTTATGTAGCCATATGGCACTTCAGTATGCCAACCTGCACTGTTTTGTAAGGTCAGGACAAGGTCAGGGACAACTGAAGCACAGACATAAAAAGAAAAAAAAGTATCTCTAACAGGGACAAACAGCTTCAGCACTAATTTGGAAAAAATCCTCTCTTCCGGGGTTAAAAAGCTAAGTGCAGCTGTAGCAAAGCCTTCTTCCATCACTCAGCAGAGCGCATACAAACTGTTTTAAACCACAGCTACAGCAACTCTCACTTGATTTAGTGCCCTCCAAAAGCAAATTCCTCTCTTACATGTTTTTCTTTATTATACCAGTAGTTTTCAGTTAGAATTATGAAGTGTAAAAATAGGGCGTATCACTGAATTTCACATATTCAGCTACCACTTTTTCTGAAGAGTATCCAAGGTCCACTTGAGAGGAAAAAAAAAAAAAAGTGAAACATTACTCTGTAGAAAAGCAGGTGATAAATTACTCTGAAGTAGCTGCCACGCTTAACACCACCAGCAATGGAAAACCCTTAGCCAGGACATCCGAGCCCCTGCAATTCTTCACACGACTTCAAAGAGCAACTTCTGCATTAGTTTTGAGGCAGACTGATCTCAGCTAAATAATTCAGTAATCTTAAGGTTTGAGGCAGTACCATACCCCTCGGTGTTAAACAGAAGCAGCAAACTAAACACCTCAGCACCAGATTCCCAGCCCGTCACCAAAGCAAGCTGTCCGTATCAGCATTTGACCGACACTTCGCACACTAACCAGCCAGCCAAGCTGCTGGTAACAACAGACCTATGTGAAGAGGTGCCCAATGCTTCACATGCTATGTTTTTGTTGTTGCTTTTCTTTTCCTAAAAGCTAACGCCTTTTCGAAACCACGCAGTACATTTACATTCCCCAGACCAAGTGACTGCCTCTGGGCAGCTTCGTGAGAGATGTATTTTGCACCAGAACAGTTCCAAGAAGAGAAGAGGGAGAAGGAATAAGAAAAGGGAGAAGCAACTGAGGTTCTGCCCCTGTTAACATTTACTGTGTGTCACTTCTTCAAGCAGGTTTACTTCAGTCATTTGGGGTCTGAACTTGGAGGCTATCAACTTTCTGGCAAATCATATTCAGAGATGCCCTTTGCCATCTCTGAAAATCCTGCCAAATTAAGCCTTCAAGCTTACTTACTTCTAAAATTTCTAATACAGAACACCTCTTACTCTTCCAGCCTTATCCTTCCAGACAGACTTCAGACTAAGAATCATCAAAACCTGAGCCTCTGGCCCCTGGAGAGCAGAGGTCGTGTACCTGCACCTTCCCGACCAGAGCCACGAGCAGTGGTGGATACTGCAGGAGCTCCATTTCAGGTACAACAGACACACGTTGCAGCAACCTCAGCTGTCCTGGCCCTAAGGCAAGAAGGCCCAGAGCCCATCTGGGGCTTTAGCTTGAGCTACAGCAGTAAAGCCATAAGCAATACTTAATGTTTGACCACATCTGGAGGAAAAAGGTGCTGGAATGACCAGGAATGAAGTTGAATTTCTGGAAAATGCACTCTGCCTTCTGTCCAAAGTGTCCTGATACCCCATCAAAAAGAGGGAGAAACCATTCAGGACAATGGTTTAAGAAGTATTACTTAGATAGCTATGCGATGTTTAGTTCAGCATTTTCTCCCCAGACCTTCTCCTATCTCCTCCTCCTCCTGAAACAGCAGCCAGAGAACAAGAAAATTCTGTTTTAGAATAACTGTTTTCCAAAAGAGCACGTACTACTAACCACAGATCAAAACCAAACAAGAAAGTAAACACCTTCAAATTACCTCTAGGTTTCCCTTTTACATAGTCCACTGATTTATTTTTTTTTTTTAACTCAAGGGAAGGAAAACACAACAAAACCTGAATGCAATTCTCCATATTTGCCATGTTATATACACAAACCCATCCCAGTTCAAACTGACATTGGCATCAGAGAACATAAAAGAGCATTTCAAACGCTACAGTGATTCACTAGCCATGCAGCTGGCTGCTTAGTAGACACAAGCCTCACTCCCAGTTTTCCAGGTTCCAGTTCCAGACACAAAATGCATCTCTATACACTGTGCATAAATGCAGGAAAAATGAGAAACCAGTAATGGCTTAGTCCAAGCCACACTCCCTGGCTCTGTAGAACTCCACTGTGGAATTTCTGCTTTATTTTCAATTTGACATTCTTCTTGTCCTCTGGCACAGTTTTTCCGAGGTTTTCAAGCAGGTGTTATTTGGTCACTGCTCAAAGTCCCTATGGAAAGCACAATTTCTTCCTCAGCAGAAACGCATCTTCCCGTTGTGCATCGATCTCTCGAGATACTCTTAACATGAAGGGGCTGTCCATTTTCTTCAGGTCTTTGGCACCCTAACAAGTAACAGATACCTACAACAGGATCATGACTTCCTGTAGCAGATTCAAGTCATGTGCTGCACTATTCACAGCACTCCTCTGCAACTTCTACTCCCATTACATGACTTACAAAAAAGGTTTTCTTCTCCTTTGCTCATCACTGTGCCTTCTACTGCACAGGTCTCAAGTCTGCAGGCAGACCTGTACGTGAAAAGCTTTACGTTTATTTAACAGCAGCTACCTATTTGGCTCCTTCAGTAACTTCAGCCTTGATAATGCTTTCAAGGACAGCATTATCTTCGCAATCTATATATCCTTCTGTTATGCTTGGCTGAAACGGGCTCAGGATAATCAAACGTTACCGGGATATCAGGAAATTACAAGAGAGAAGTAAAAGAGGACACAGCCATGTGTGGATCATCTGACCTTATTCATTGGTGCTATAACCAGCTAAGGCAAAGGGAAGGGAGAAGTTGGCTGTTTTTAAAGGAACTGTCAAGTCCTCCTGAGCCCAGGTCTCCAGAACCTAAGAAACTGAGACACCCCATGCTGGAGAGGAAGGGGTAAGGACTGACGGACACGCCTGAAACAGTGAGAAATCACACAGCAACTTACAAAACTGTGTCTAAAGAAAGGCAGCTCAACCAGCAGATCCAGTCTGGATCCAATTGCAGAGATATAGCAAGTAAAAAACCACCTCAAATAAACTGACATTCAAGCAATTTGTGAACCTATGGCAGAAAAGGATCAATTTGCTCCAGTTCCACTCTCCACCCTGTTACCCAGCTATAGCAGAAGCAATCCAGGACTGAAACATTAACATGAATCTGTATTTACACTACCCAAAAGGGAATTGCCATTATACTCAGAAAGAGGTGTCAGTGAACCACTATGCACTTGGAGGAGCCTCCTCTGACTCCACTAGCCATGGGACGAAATTGCTCTTCACGAAAATATTAGTCTCGCCTCTTAAAATTCCAATGCAAGCAAGTGCTGAAGATGCTGTCAGAGAACTGCTGGCCACAATATAAGCTTGCCAAACGTTCCCCTCAGGTTGGTTTGCTTAAGTACAAGAAAACTATTTCGGCAGCTGTATGTGCGAGTGTGTGAAGTCACTCCTTATGCTATGCAGAAACCAATCCTCCCACCCGCTTCTTTTAAGGCTCTGAAAAAATAACAACTTCCCATCAGGACCCGTTGTACGTTCCACTGAAGATGCGACAGTTTGTAGGCACAGCTCTACACCATTAACAGAAAAACATTTTGCTATCTTTAGGGTATCCAGTGTGAAATAGCACTATTTTTCAAAAAGTGTAATCCATTCTATTATTTCTCAGCAGAGATAACAGCGGGGC